AGACAGTAAAACCTTAAAAAACCCACAGTCCTTAAAAAATCCAAACACTTAAAAAAAGTCCTTAGTCTCTTAATAGTCTCTTAACTGTGGGTGGGCTTCTGTAAAATCCAAAACAAGTACTGTCTTATTTCAAAGGGAAGAATTGGGCACACCTAAGCAAAACCAAAGTCCAGCAAAGTAGCTCAAGGCTGGACATCTGGGATTCACTCACGATCTTCTGGCCTCCAAAGGGTTCTGGCAGCTTCACTTCTCTGACTCTGCAGTCCACAGCACAAACAGCTCGTCTCGCAGACCCAGGCCAGCTCCATTCCATACCTACTGTGGTACTTGGTGGTCGTCCCATGGTCCTGACATCTCCAAAAACCTGGAGTCTCCACTGAACCTGAGGCTGCACCTTCACCAATCACAGCTGATTCTTCAGCCCCAGCCGACCAGAACCCACAAATTCTCAATCCACAATCTCACACAAACAGCCCTGATAGTCTCAGCTTCCCTTTGAACCTTCACAAGCCAGGTCTCCATCGTCTACAACTCTTTCAGCATAACTGTTCCAAGCTCCACTGCAACAAACTCCAAGCACGCAATGGCTTTTCCAGCCCAAAGTTTCAAACACTTCCACAGTCCTCCCCAAAATACCGTCAGGTCTGTCATAGCAATATCCCACTCTCTGGTACAAATTTCTGTCCTAGTTTGTTCTTCATTGCTGTGACAAAATACTCTGACCACTACCAACTTGGGGAGGTAAGAGTTTATTTAACTTACATATCCAGGGTCGTAGTTCATCCAGGAGCCCAAGGTAGGACAGGAACCTGGAGGCAGGAGCTGGAGCACAGGCCATGGAGGAACGCTGCTTACTGGCTTGCTCCCCTGGCCCCTGCTCAACTTGCTCTCTTATGCAACCCAGGCCCAACTGCCCAGGGGTGGCACTACCCACAGTGCACTGGGCCCTCCGACATCACTCAACAATCAAGAAAATGCACCACAGACATGGCCACAGGCCAGTCTAATGGAGGCAATTCCCCAATTGAGGCTCCCTCAACCCAGGTGTGTCAGCTGATGCTAAAGCTATCCAGCACATTGACTATAACATTTTATTTGTTTGTCAACTGAAGGGTATTTGGGCTAAGGGGATGGCTCAGTGGGTAATGGGTGCTTGCTGTGCAATCATGAGGACCTGAGTTCAAATCCCCAGAAACCACAGAAAATTCTGGGTGTGGTCACATGCATCTATAATTCCAACATGTGGTGGGGAGACAGAATGATTAAAAGGGCTTGTGGCCACCTGCCTTACTCTACGTTCATGAGAGACCTTGTCTCAAGGGAATCAGACACCTGATATCTTTTCCTGGCCTGCAGGCATAGGCACATAAACTTTCACACACATGTGTATATACCACCCAATCCCCTCTTTCCACAAAATTGCAGAAAAATCAAAGGATATTTGTATGAATCATACCAACACCAGTATTAATGCTCAGGTTTTTTTCTTTTTAAGACCTATTTATTTTATGTGTACAAATGTTTTGTCTGTATGTAAGTGTACCGGGGAAACCAGAAGAGGATACTGGAGTCATAGTAACTGCCGAACTATCACTCCATCCCCAATGCTCAGGTTTTACATAGACATGTTTTCAGTTCTCTAAGGAATATGCCTAGGAGCAGATTGCTGTATCATCTGATAATTGTTTTGAAGAACTGTGAAACTTTCCCAAAACATTTGCATCCATTTTACATTCCCACTAGCACTGTCTTTGCATTCTTACCTCCATTTTTCTGTTACATGTCTTTTATTATTTTTAATTATGTATATGTGTATGTCTGTGTGTGAATAGACCCATGTCAGTGCAGTACCCAAGGAGGCCAGAAGAGGGTGTTGGATCCCCTGGAACTGG